CAAAAAACGAAAACGTGAAAAACATGAGTGGTCGAGCCATGAGATCCTGACAAGCTGTTTGTCAGGAGAGGATCTTAGGATACCCATACTCCACACATAATCAAGCTACATTATTGAACTAAGTACCAATGTATTTCTCTATGAAGATTCGGATGAATCCTGTATTTTTGGAACCTCTCGTCTCAGACCTTATTTAGTTGGAGCTGCATTTTATCGTTCATAGCACGGAAACTTATTTAGAGTTAACTTCGCAGTTTGATAATATAAGTGGCAAACACAAGAGACTTTCATAACCTGACCGCGACTGCAATGGACGGAATGCTACCGATAAATTCCTCTGCATAACTGGACATACAGAAGTCATCAAAATTAGTGATGTGGACAGAAAAGTTGCGTAGAAAATGTGTTGCATTTCCAAACAAGGGTTACTGTAGCCCACACTTTTTACAGCGCCATTCGCACTTCTCCAATACGAATTTCGTTTTTCAATTTGAATTAGTCTAGAAGGAAAAGCCGATTAGTGCTGTCCGGTTGTTTCATTGTTGCTGGGAATCATAAGTGTTGCGCGTCTCATCAGATTCCCTGGAGCTTCGATCCCTCAAACTGTCAGTAAATTAGTGAGAACTACACAATTCAGCCACGGTTGGGTAATCAACAACATGACTGATTTGCAGTTTGTCGGGTTGCAAGGTCACTGCCATTCTGTTGCGCTTTTCATGCCATGTGACGTGTTGTTGGCTTCTCACGCGACCCGTGGAACACTGTTTTCTGAACAGCCATCTGGTGAGATTTTGAGGACATCAATATGAACTTCTCCTGGTAAGTGATGTCAGGCGATGCTGAAACACTGAGAAATGATACACAGATTTTTCGCTCTCATCCGGACTAATCAGCAGCGCACTGCTCACAGATCTCCAAGGAAAAATCACATCCACAAGTCCATTCACGGTAAACATGTGTAGGTTTATGAGAGGTTGCTCAGTACTTATGCCGTTCTTCTATGTGAGACCGTCCACGGGTTAAAGCACACGCTGCTCGTATGAATCAAAGTTCTAGTTGGACATCAGTCTCAAAGGAATTTATTTGACGTAAAAATGAAAGCCGAAAGAAGTACAACTCAGTAAGTGGTCGATGCTTGGAAAAGTAAGGGAAAGTGAGTAATTCATTATGATACACATGAATAAGTCTGTTGGCACCAAGCTTGAGTTGGTACCCAGCTAAAAATCTGAACAGTCCTGTACACCTATTTTATCCTTGTTGCGAATCAGAAAGACTTGGACTAGGATAGCAGTTGGATACATGTGATGTGATCACAAGTCGCCGGTTGACAAAATGATTAACTGGCACTAAGATAAGATTTAACACCTACATCCTTCATTCACACAGTTCATATCATTTGATGCAGTTTCATCTAGTTATTGACATCCTCTTGTATTGAAGGCCCACACCAGCAGAGGTATTTTTTTAATGCGAGTGGATTACTCATAGCTAGCGGGTAGTGCGGAAAGTCCGTCGAAAATCTTACAACTCCTCACCTGATAAATAATGTCGCTCTGCCCTGGTTGACTTCGCTCCAAACAACCAAATCCACCATGTGGAGAACAGTATACGGCTTCTGCGCATTTTGGGAAAAAAGGACTTATGCAAATGGGTTCTTTAGTATACCTTTAGTTGCATAGTCACCCACCCGACTTTCGTCCTCTGTCGCCCAAATCGAGATCATTTGGATAGGTTGTCCTACGTTAGCAAAAACCATGTGCCGTTACAGTCCACATGCCATTGCTATAAGGATCCCGTTGAGGTTTACATGAAAGGCTGAAGCTGGACACCGATATAATGGAATTGTACCGATTATCTTGCTTTACTGGGTGATGGGCAACTTCCATTCACGGGCTTTAGGTCACATCTGATGAGGTGTGTGGGGTAATCCTGGTGAAACGTATAGTACAAACTATTGGCTTAGATGGGTATGGTGATTTTCCAGCGCGGTTAGTTGAGATCCTTGGAAGAAACGATACGTCTAAGTCAAAACAGTTAGTGCATCATGACAAATCTACAGTGAATATGGACTTTACGGTTTTTGCATAGAATCGAATGAGGCATCACCCTTGGTAGTATCAGCAGGGTCAAGCTGTCAAAAGCCCAGATCGATACCTTTCTATGCCGAAGTCAGCTACAAGGGCTGTCTGGATAAAGAACGAAGAGGAAGGAACTTATCCGTCCGTGTAATAACGGTATTTTCCTCAGCTTAGTTTTCGGTCTGAACCTCCCAAGCTAGTGTTTCCGTCGAACAAACCACCAAATGTGCACAGCGTATGTTAATACCCAAAACCTGATCAGAAACACACGTACAGTGCTTCGTGTATAAAGTGTGTGCGGCGACAGCAATCTGGAAATTCAGACGTCTTCTGGATGTGACATTGGCAACTGACATCAGGCCAGCACTGGATAATGATTGGTTGTTAAGACCAGACTTTCGACCAATCAGAGCTCGGCTTGATACCGGACCGGCAATCGGACCGAGCTTTTGACCAATCTTGTGTGGAATACGCTCCTTAGCCGTAGCAGCGCTTAACTGCGAGTGGTAAAACAGTTTCCGTATGGAATTCTGCCCAACAATCAGTTACATAACTGAAGCTACGAGCGCATATTAACTGATTGATTATGGTGCCATGAGCACAATTTGGATAGCCGTAACAATGTCTCGGTGAACTAAGTTACGATGCTTCAGGCTATACCCTCAGGCTATCGATGCATCAGGGATTCGGTTGATGATGGGTGCAGTAACAGTTATCAAAACTCCCATCTTTGTGTCTGAGTAGGATTTTAGAAGCACGCGTGTTTGTCGAATACTCTTAAGATGCTGCTGAATTGGTAATTCTTACGTTCCAACAGTGATCCCATTCATCCTTTAGCGAGACGAAACTGTCAGGCTTATGAGTGAAAGCCCCGAGGATAATTAGTATCGTTATTGATTCGTGCTGTTCATAATTCCGAAACAGAGTCGACATCGACTAGCAGTTACTTCGGCTACCGGGGGCAGGTTTTGTGGGAACTGCGAAAGCTTAAGTACAGCATTGTTCTGTATGCCCTATTAAACCTTTACGAACCGTCTCTCTAGGTGTTCGATAACAGCACAAGTCTCGGTCTGAAGTTCCAAGTGAAAAATCGGAAACAGTGCCCCACGTAGATGGGCTTTGCATGAAGTAACATGCTCCAGCCTTTGTTCGCGATCTGAGAGAACAAAATGAGCAGGGGGCTCAGCCCTAGTTGATACCAGGAAAGCGAAAACTTATTCTAGTCGCAGCACAATTCATCTGAGCCCATGATAGCCACTGTAGAGAGGTCAGTTGCAGAATGTGTTTAACGCACACATGCCGTTTTTACTCATGGTATCCCGATGTCCTTTCTTCAAAGAAAACAACAGCAGAGTCAGTGGGAGTGGATGTCCAGAGGTTTTGGAGAAGCACTAACCTCTCCAACTCAGTACAAAACTGCTGCAACAGCATCTGTGTTTATCTGACTACAGACAGGCTAACTCACCTCTCTGCCTCGACAAATGTGTTGAATTCATCGTCCGTAACGAACAAATAGTCGACACCGTGCACTTCACCTTCCCTTGGCTTCCTGGTAGTGACTGTGTGTTCAAATGACAAATCAAGCGTGAGAAGCATTTACTAGGGACAAGTTTTTATATAGTCGGGGCGAAAAACTGCAGTTCAAAACACACACGCAGACATGTAGTTAGACTCTGTTAGCTAGTTTCCACATTGTCTCTAGAAGTGGAAGGGATCACTGATCATTGAGAGGTTGGCAGATCGGGTTTATACCAGTTTCCGTTGAAGTGGCCCACGGGAAATATATAATGATCACTCTCGAGAAAGAGTAACATCGGAACAGAGAAAAATGATTCGGTTTCCCGGACCACCCACCCTTACACTTGTGAAATTGAAGTTCCGGTGCAATTCTTCTCTGATGTGGTACCTCTGACTTTTAACACAATAACCCTTCAATGGAAAACTAGCCTGTCGAAGCTGATTTCCTGTTGAAATCTACTCCCGAAAACAAGAAAGAGGAGATCCATAATACCTGTTTTACCGATCCAACAGCAAGAGGGAGATGTGCTGTGTTGTTGACTCAGAATTACTAGTCAACTATCACGTCAGAAGATTGACTTCGGCATACTGATCCACACACAAATCATGAAGCTTTCCATTAGCTGTACCTGACTCGATTCAGCCAATAGTTTCGCCTAGGATATGCACAAATTACCAGACGTTGGAAAGTACGGTAATTTCAATATAGAGTGAAGGGTGCTGAAACTGGAATATGTCAAGAAGCCATGCATTGCAATCAGATGATTGCCGAGTTCTCGGTGTTCACAAGTAAACTACAATTACCATAGCAGAATAAAGGCTGTAATTAGGATAGATGGTGGAAATTGGCCTGTTCCCATCAAACAAAATGTGGGAGCTGATACGAATTATACAGAATTGCTGCACTTAACCAGTATGTCTCCGTCACTGGCCAGCAAGTGCTTTGAATAATGAATAATAACTGAATGAATGCATGTATGAATGAACGAATGAATGAATGAATGAACCAACTGCTAACCTAAATGGAGCGGCAATGCCATGGCCTCCTCATGAGAGCTGTCTAAAAGCATCCAGGTACAAGTAAAAATGCCTTACGGAAGGCGTGTGACATAACACTTATTAGTCACCACATGAGAACATTCTCTGTGCAGTGACCTCCCGATATCCCCCAGGGAGTTTATCGTCCAGGAGGAATATTAGGTGAAAAAACGGGATCGGATTATCCCGTTTACATCTGTCGGAGATTATTTATACGAAGGTGCACTTCTGGACGTTTCCGTTCTACTTAGTTTAGTTGCCCTTAAACCCCCCCCCCCCGAGGAGTGGTCGGTGGGTTGTTCGCTGAGCTGGGCAACCTGATTGCAAACGTTTCATCACCAATCGAGGTGGCATCATCAGTTCACGCACAACCACTACGCACCACTACGCTCCCCAATAATGCACTGAAGATGCTATCTCGATTGGTGATGAAATGATTGCAATCAAATTGCCTAGCTCAGCGAACAAGCCAACAGCCATCTACGCTACCTGAGCTGTCGACATTTTTTTCCACAGACCCCCAGGAATTTTCAAAAAGACACGTCGAAGGTTTTTAACTTTAGAAGGATAGCCAGTAACAAAATATCGTGGGGTTTCTGCACTGCAACAATGAAATTTCATTTGTGCCTCAGTGTTTCTCATCGCTCTCTTGAAGTTCTCCAATTTTTCTGAAATGAATGCACTAGATGCTCTTGTTTATCCGTGACGTAACGGGTCAGCGCAACACAATGAATCTGAGTCATAATTCACGTTTATAGCACCCTTTTTTTGAACAGCCCTCCTCCTGTCCTGACGCATTTATTCTCGTGAGTTCACACCAAAGGGGTGTGGGAATACTGGACTCGGTTGTTTAGATTGATTGCCCCACCTGTCTAACATTCAAGGCAGGCAGTGCGTTTTGCACATAAACGACACCATATATATATATATATATATATATATATATATAAAACAACGATGACTGTCGAATAGGTGTTGGTCCATCCCATTAAACTCTCCTGCTGTATGACCATCAAGCGGCATACTGATTTTAGAATGTTCAAATGAAAAGTGCTGTGGACACCAGTGTGTTAAATTACCGACCAAGCCATTTCGTGTTCAGCCAATCAGGATCGAGTGATATGGAGGGATAATGTATCGGCTGTGCTGTAGTAGGCTACTTTCTTGATCAGTGGTCCACGGCATTTATATCGTGATGTTTCCCCTTGGAGAGTAAACAAGCCATCTATGAGATCAGAGAATGTATCCTCTTCGTCACTCATCGTTTATAACCCCTAACGACGGCCGGAGTGGGGGAAAGTACCGTGTTTCCAAAAGTGGTCTCTTTCATCTTGGAATGATTACCTCAGGGATACCGACTGTATTTTAACGGAGGAAAGTCAGACCTATGCGTTCCTGTTTCGCAGGAAAAGACGCTGTTTAATGATAGCAACTGTTGATAAGCAGTGAGAGGACTTTTTGCGGAATCCAGGAGTTTGACCATGGTTGGTCATGAGTGCCAAGTCTCAAATGGACACGCGAAGCACTAGTGAAACCTGAAGCTTATCAGCCTGAGTGAACTATTCCAAATCTACAAAATATTTGCCTCTAAGGAGGTATTCTATGCAAAATTGCATTCAAACTGTATTTTACTGTCCTTGTGTCATCGGTGTGTCATCGGTGTGTGTCATCGGGTCACGACTGAAAACCAAACAATTATTTGACGGTATTAAACACTCAATCAAATGGCCTTTTGAGTATGCTTTGTCATATATGGACTTTTTAAACAGCAATAGGAAATGAGCGGAACAGATGCTCAGTTTACACTTCTGTGCTTCTGTCTGAATGCCGTAGGTGACCCCATCGTACACTGACTCATATAACTGCTAAATGTGAATTTGCTTAACACAGAAGAGAAGTTACTGAACGCCACTGCAATGGAACAGAGCAGATAGTCCAGGGTTACCGTAAAACAAACTGGAAAGTCTTTGTGCGGAGTAACTTGCGTTAATGAAAAAGCGGATGTTCACCGATTAATCTATGGGTGATTTTGTCAACCCACCTTGCCTACGGTAGGTTGCACAACCCTGCGGCCTATATACGACGCAATAATGTTCGTCTACGAGTAAAATTACCCAGGACTTACTTCGTATTGGCTCACGAAAATGAGTCGGATCTGTGTTGATCAGTTGCTGCACCAGTTCTGTTTTCCCAACTCCTGGAGGGCCTGGAAAGGGGAAAAATTATTTTGTACGGTCGATATGACTGACGGAAACTATTGCTTCTATGCGGCCGAGTTTTACAACAGAGAAGAGAAATGAGACTTCCGTCAATTACCCATCGATATTTTGCCGAGATTAAAACACAACGATTTGAGGAGTCGTGCTTGCTGGAATGCAGTTCGCTCAGGGCAACTCAAAGTAGCGCGCATGGGAGACAGGCCTAGGAGAGGGTTGTCGCCGGTGTAGGTGAGTTTATCAACCGAATGAAGGTGTTTGGTAAAAAGGCGTGAAATGTAAGCACATAAGTTTAGTTTCCAGTAATTTTCTGCACAAAAAATAGCATCATGAAGATATAACCGATTGTTAAATTGATGTGATTGGAAGCCTTTAAATTTCCCTAAAAGGATGGACTTAAATTCAGCGGCTTACAAAAAAGTGTTCATAGCACTGAGAGAACTTTAGTAGAGCACTCATGAAGACACCATGTTTGAATTCTGGATTGCATCACTGACGTGCAAGCTAGGCTATTGAAGAATGTTTTGAGCCTCAAAATGTCTCTCGAAAGGTATTTCCTCAGATTAAAGGTGTACCTTGAAAACCCCTCATTTTTGTAACATCCAAACATACTACTAGTAAAATGGTGTATATTAATGAGGAAGCATGTTCGATGGTCTGTGGTCTGCTGCCCAAGCTCCGCTCCGGAATGTGATGGAAAGCAAAGACTAGTACGGTAATTCTGGAACCAATTTGCATTATGGACTACACAATCCTGTTTTTTTTCAGCTCATCCGGCAGTGGGCCAATATCTCCTTCACCCACGTTATGCCCGAGCTGTGTCACCGGACTTCGAGCGAGTTGTGTCTCGGCTTCATTTATCCGCAGACCAGCTTCCTGAATACGCTTCAATGAAGCTGGTTTGTGAACTACAGGCACCGAATCGCTATATACGACCATATCGTCTCCGTGTACACTGACATTCTGTAGTCACCTCGTTAAACGAAGCACCAAGCGTTGAAAGTGAAGTGGGTAACCTTCAAACTGGACTTAGCCATAGTCTGTCATCAGTTTGCCACGTTTTAAGTCTACTACGGACTCTGCATTCTTGTAGAAATCTGCTCCCGAAATTTTTCGCTTTATGTTTGGACTGATCAAGAACTCTCGCTGCACAGACCTGTCTCCCAGGCGCGTTCAGTGCAGTGACATTCGGTCACCTTTCAGTCGGTATCCACCCACTGCCCTAACGGCTAGCGTGATTGGTTTGTATTCAGCATCGTTCCCTCTCTGCCTCATTGACACCCCTGGCCCTGTATCGGTTAAGCACGGCTCCTTCAATAACGGCCTGTATCGTAGCCTGTGTCACAGCACTGAGTCTTCCAGTGGCCAGGAGGGCCACTGTAGCATCGGCTCATTCGAACTTGCCTCCGCGATTCTGTCACTGTCAGGGCGCGCCCAGACAGAAGAAGTACACGTGCAGAGAGTGACGCATCCCCAAGGTCATCATCGGTTCGACACGTCCGAAAAGTAGGTGAGTTGGCGGCTCTCACCAAACGGTTTAGCAACACACGACCAGCGTAGTGGGCCTGAGAATGTTCACGACCGGAACACCACCATTGGCTGTACGGAGCGAACAAGTGAGCGACCATATTTGGTCAATTAGTCCTCCTATATATATTTACGCAGACGCTCGGTATGTTTGGTCCTGGCAATACAGTCGTGTCCCCAGTTCTCTGTCTTCTCTCTATCGCGTAGTCTGGCAGGCTGGCCACCGCACAATACAACAGTCACCATGGCGGCAAGCTGTTCAGTTGATCGGTCCGCTTGGGTCCGAAGATCCTCCACTGGTCAATCATCCCGTTTCTCCTGCGACTGCAACATGACCAGAGGCGCCTCGGCTAATTCCCTCACCGGAGGCACCAGCTCCTCCACGCTCAACTGGCCGGTCGCTCTCATCAACCGTAAACGGACACCAAGCACCGGCTGCAGACATTCGACGAGCTGGTCAGAAAGCAACTGCTGGCGCGACACTCCTTGCAGTCCCGACAAGGCACCATCCAGACTTTGCTGCAGTCTGGCGAAGAACACGTTCGGGTGACATCCCGGTTCCATCCTGGCCTCCTTTAACCGCCTAATGATCCCATTCTCACGCGCTCATCATTTAGTGTTGAACAATAGTAAACAAACACTGCAAAGCGGTTCCATACATTTTGCAATGACAATCTTCCGTCAGAATTGGGGGCGCAGCTTGGACACCAGACCATCGACTACTCACCTGCTTCATCAGTAGTATACGACGTTATACCAACATACTGCTGCCCATAGGTTTACAAATGGAATCTTTGTTTCGCTAATTTTTGTTAAGGTGCTTTCGCTATAAATACAAAAGGGTTTTTCATTTATAAATACTGTGAACAGTATTTGTTGGACTTGGGTGATTTCTAAACGGGAAAACTTTGGAAACTGCAAAATGTTGAACGTAAACCTGGATAAGTGAAGAACCTGTTCAGAGGTGTTGCTGTGATATCATGTTTACCTCAGATATGATTCGTTTTCACGGGTATAATTTGGATTCTTGGAGAAAAATAATTTTCTGAAACCTGTTTGTTGAGAATGTTGGAAATGGATTACAAAAATGGGACACGCTCGGTAGTTCAATGATTTACATAATATTGGGACCATTTAGCATTCAGACGACAAGGATTTCAATTGACCTGTAATTAGTAGTAATGTTGATGCAGACTGTTTGGCAGTTCACTATCGGTTTAGCCCTTTCGGATGCACACAAAGTAAACAAGTATCCACTAATCCAATTTCCTATTTGAATACGAAATTGTACGTAAGTTGAGTTATATACTTGTTTACGATTAAAGTCGAAGTTGACGGTAAACTCCACATGAATGTCTTCTCCATGATATTCCTCAACCGAATATGATTCGAAGAGGTTGCTTCATATTTACTGGATACTGTTCCAACTGAAACACCAGGTGTTCTTGGCTGAAGAATATAATAAACAAGACATTCAGCTGGCAATCAGCTGATCCCCACCAACTTAATTTATGAGTGAATGCATAGCTCGACCAAGAGATTAGTTTAGTGATGAGCATTTGCAAATATCGAGGAGCGAAAAAAATACACCGTACCAACTCTTACCAACTAGTACGATTGGTCTATAGAAGCCTTCTTCAGGGAAATAGCGTTCAACTTCTTCGTAGAATACTGGTTCTGGAAAACATTTGAAATGAGAGGATCAGTGATTCTGAATGCCTGGATGCTTTCACAAGGAAGAATCACTGATAGATTGGTATATTTTACTTTCAATTTCTACCTTGCATGACGCTGGATACATACGACATTGACTCATTTCCTAATTCGAAATCTCCTATAAATCTAGAATACCTGGACATGTCTGTTTTTTGTGGGTGTTTCGCTGATCACTCTTTGTCAAACTGTTTCAGTTTCTGTAATACGGTGGTTGCAATATTGTCAATACCATCATAAAGATAGCTGACCAGCCTCAAGAGTTCACTTACCAAAAAAAGCAATCTAGCAAACGCGTTGACGCTCGGGTTTTCGCACATTGTCATTGGTGTTATTGGGTGTATCTGCCTTTTCTAGAGTTTACCAACAGTTATTAACCCTTAGATGTTCATGCCGCATGCATGCGTTTTTAAGTGGTGCCTGGTGCCAAACAGAGTATGGTTGTTCAGTTAAACACTACCTTGTCCGTAAAGTAAATAGGCAAACCTAGTTTGAGTAATTTGCTATTCACTATGTTATCAACATTCGAAATCAATGGGAAAAGCTCACAGAAAAACTTACCTTCACTGCTTCCTTCGTGTGTTGACCGATATCCACTCTTCCTTTTAAAAAAATAAGACAGCTGTATGTGTCAGAACTATTCAATGACTAGTGTACTTAGTGGGTTGTTTGGTCAGACAGTGATTTCAAAGGCTCAATATCTGACTAATTATAGTAACAAAAGGAGGATATAGGGAAGTGTTTTTAAACGAAGATTCGGAAAATACGTGTACTAAAATGTAACACTAACAAAGATTAGGTGAAGTTACTACAAAAACTGACGGAAACTTTTAGACTCAGATTATAATGTTGGTACCCAGATTACTGAACACCACTCAGAATGATAGTACGCGGTTTTTTTTTGAAGAAATTAGACATTTATGTACGTTATTGTGAGAGAAGGTACACCACGACGACTGACCGAGTCACCTTGAGATTTTTCTTCCAGATTATGAAACAATATACAGGTTGCTGTCTGAATTCATCAGGGCTTCTGTTTCATGAAAACCTCATATTGTGTTTTAGCTCCCGAACAGATCTAGTATCAGCGTCCAGGTTTCTGTAAGTGGAGGAATCAACAAATTCATGTGTGTAGTCTTGTTGGTCCGTTGTTTCATTTCCATACTTTGGGCAAATGGTACGCTGGATCAAATTATTCAGCAGAATAATTTCGGATCGTTCTAACTCATTTAAAGTTGGTCGGACAATACCATGTGTTCTTTTTATGCAATGAGGAACTGCTTTTTAACGAGCTGTTTGTTTTCAATGAATATTTGGAAACACAAAAGCCCGAAATACATACCATGCTTTGTGTGACTTGCTAGGAATGAGACCGACGCGTCCTAGTCCCGGTTGGTTGGCATTGCTCCCTAAAACAGAGGCTACTGGTCCGCCGGGGGCGAATTCTACCTGCAAATACAGAGGCGGAAGCAATGAGATATGAAGATATATATATATATATATATATATGTCATAAAAAATGTACTGAGACAATCATTCCGTCTAGTTAGTATAGTTTCTTTTGTAAATCCTCAAAGCCACATCAAACGTGGGACGTATTTTGTGCTAAGCTATACCGCTAGACTTGAAAAGTACCTCAGCAAAGACCTATAATCATCTGCATTCATATCACCAGTTGAGTAGTCCGCCGCCTGGCATGATAATTCTAGTTGACAGTGGACTCGAGTTTCACTCTTATGAAACCTCATCATCGGTGCATATCATTGACCGTGTGGGGATTAGAAAGACTGAAGCAAGCGTGTTACTGCTACCTTATCAGCACACCCTGAACAAAACAAAATCATGTCGTCCGAACAGTATAGCCCATTCACACTTTGGACGACGTGAGTGTTTTGAATTTTGAATAACTAGTCAGCCCTGAGTCAGGCAAAGTAACATTCTCTACTCATTGAAAACTGACCTTGATAGCCTTCCACCAGTTAGGATCGTCCGTTTTTATTAGTCGTAGAATCTCACCTTTCAAGAAAGCAAGACCCGCTTCTGGATGAGGGATTAGTGGGTCCGACAGTGGGCTATAGGAGAATAAGGTTCTAACGTGAACCTGAAAAGAAATAAAGGTTATGGTGAATGGTCACGTGACGTTTCGTGGCCAAGTACCAAAAGTACCCCTTTACAGAAAGCCAAAATAAGGCAGTTAATAAAATCATTAGTAACGTTTACTTTTGAAGGGGAGAAGCACACAGAAAATGCAAACACTGTTAGTGGAGGGAAATAAGGGAAACCTCAGAGAGGGCATGCTAAATGCTACTGAAGATGGAGAAAGTGCCGGCAAAATCAAGTGCATCGAGCACAAAGTTTCCGGCAAACTAATAAAAGTAATACTGTTACTACAGATGCTACCAATACTTAGTTGTTACGAATACGATCACAAGCATAAGGTTAGAAATACAAGGGGGTCCACAAAATGAAACACCATGCAGTAAGAATGTACGGCTACAGTCAGTCGTAGCATGCTGATTCCCAAAATACGAAATGTAGTTTCTCATAAAAATCGATAGTGAACGGCGCCCACTACTACTACTACTGCTAATACATCCACTAATAGGGCGGCCACCGCTGCACTGTATAAAGCTCACGGAACATGGGAAACCTTGCTCAGACTCAAAGACCTCACTGTATTTGCCACTACGCACAAACCAAGTAATTACAAAGTTTAGTTATGCATTGACTTCATTTGTTTATAACTACAATTATCGGTTTATATTAAGGTCTCAGCGGTCTGAATGATCAGTCTTCTCTCGATAAAGGGTGAGATTGGTACTCACCCCCTAGTTTAGTGACAACATTAGCTTTAATACGTTTAAGAAAACTTTATCTGTCAAAGACTAATACTTATGGTGTAGATTCGGCCCTTTAAATAAAACCAATCTATGCTGCAAAGCCGAGGAGCGTTGTGCTTCACCCACAAAACCAAATATAAACCAAATTTCCAATTCTCTTCAAAATACCAAAAACTAGTATTTATGTTCTACCTGGTGCATTCATTTTGAGGCATAATGTATCTTCTTCTATACCACTTCTACTGTATGATTGCCTGAAAGTCGCCAAGGCGTAATACAGGTCTGTTAAACGCTCAGTAGGATAGTCTCGGAGTGTCCCATTAGACCGTGATGTATGGGCCACTTCCGTGTGTCAAACAAGAACACACTACAGTCGTCGCAGACAGCCTTCATTCCAGGACGGATTCAAAACCCATTTTCTGAGACAGCGTTCTGCCGGAATGAAACCAACAGCCCCAGAGCTGCAACGCGGAATCGGCTGGTTTGTAACCAAGGCGTTTCTGTCACCATCACGATCCCTATGATGCGGTGGCATGTGAGCCTACATCGTTCTCTCGTTCACCGTTTGTGGTGGAGACAATTTATTGAACAACTTATCTCCCATCTCTGTGTGCATCGAACTGAGCGGACAGGTTCGCATGCTTAGCGTGTGACTCATCATGTTTCCAAGGCCAATGGCAACAACAGCATCGAGTTTGTGTCAAAGTACTTTGTCCACTGCGAGGACGAAAAATCATGGGCTGTCGAAGAGCTTTCAGCAACCTTATGATAGTGCTTCATCAGTCATGTGTTGCTGTCACCGCACGACTTCTTCCATGAAGATGAACAAAAAGGGCGACTTAGTTAGAAACTGCACGCGGTCCGAATGCGGGGAAAACAGGGTTGATGTGCCACATCAAACAAACCACCGGGTTGATTTGGATGGGATCTGGGACACACAGACTGAATGAAGAACTGGAGAAACCATCATCACGCAGGAAGATACCCCATCTGCGGAAGGAAGTAATAGTAATTTAATGACACCAGAAGAACCTGCAGCACGGGACCTCTGGTTTCAAACCAGTTGGGACAGTGAGAGCCCATTTCACTGTCCACAAATAATGCTCACTGTTGGGGTGAGTTGTAGAGCGACCGGGCAAACCAAGCCCTACATAACTCGGCAAAATGCTAGGAATAGTACAATCACAGATAGATTTTTCTTGCGATGATACCGCCCCGCAGCCCCAAAGAAAGTCCAGATAAGGAATCTGTGCACAACTGCGTATACGTGAGGAGAATAGCGGTTGATCGCAATCTGAGAAAAGCCTTAAAACAAAGTTCGCATTTCCCACCCCATGCGAAACTATTCAGCAACGGTAAGCTTAAAACACTGTTTTGACGCATTGTGTTCATTTGCCGTGTCCTACACCCCTGGTTTGTGTAAGCATACAAACTAACAATCCCAGTCATGAATAAGTGCATTCAGGCATCTCTTACCACTTCTTTACAGTGACTTGGTGGGTTTGTCGTCTTACGCTCACACAAGTATCGACTACTTAATACGTTTTTTCGTGTTTTGTTGTCAAAACTAAACAAGCCCTCGCAACCAAGCAAAATCGTAGTGCTGAACCACGCTGAACCAAACACAACGGAATATCTCTAGCGGACTAAGTTTCTCGTGGTAGCCTTCTTTGATGGATAAGCAGGCATGCTTATGACTTACCGTTTTGTGTAGTGCAACCGAGATAGATAACTAACCGAATAACTAACTCACTGACGAGATTTGACTTTCTTAACCAGATTCATATAGCTGACAGACTGCTCCAAACGTGTGCTCTAACTTGTGGATAACAGGTTGTTTATCTGTGTCGAATAACTTGGAATATCTACCCCACCATTCAAAACTACTGTCACCAATCCTTCCTGCCTGATCCGGAAGATTCAGAAACGTATGACCAAAGTTTAACCAGCACCATTACCAGCTTCAAGATTGTATTCCTCAATACCATCATCAACAACAACAATATTCTGAGTGGCTTGATGTACATGAAATCATTGGAAGTCCAGGTTATGAACCTGACGCTCAAATTGTTTGCTGAATATGAATAGCTTACCTGATTCTGGTCTGGTGTTCTTTGTGTCAGTGTTGATGGTGCCAGATTTAGCTTGACCTCGCCGGTTGTTTTGAGCTAAGGGTAAAGCAAACCAAATGTGGAAGCACTCAAAATCAGTAAGACCTATTTAGTAGTACTTTATATTTTTCATCGTGCTGGTCGAAGTATTAGGACTGAAGTCCACCGGGATCGTGCTGAGTTTATGGTCAAGAAGTGTATCTGAACTAGCGGATTACTTATTATCAGGTAAACCGTAATAGTACGGTATGACCTCGAGAAGAAGAGTCCCAAAATGTTACCGACCACCGGATCCCTTACGATGCAGAACCATCATTCAGGTTAGTTGTGCCAATAACACGAAGGGTCCAACAATGTCGAATAAACAGACAAGCCAGTAGCACTGCGTGATTTACAAAGAATACAACTGTTTGACAGTCACGTGGACTGTGATCGGTTCCAGGCTATACGGTTGGAGTGGAAAAACCACAGAGAACTGGTGGAAGCCGAACGAAATCAGCTGATTTCAATTATGCGCCCGCAATTATATACTTTTCCAACTTATCTGTAATAGAACCAGTAGTTGAAAGCTGCCATCGTTCGGCAATTTTTGACCGTGAATCAATTACGGTACTCAAAGTCGGGTAGTAGACGTCAGGTAACAAATTATCTCGATCGTATATGGGTTCCTGAAGAGTCTTCCAGCGTCTTACCTCCAGTAAGCGATCTCTTCTAAATCGACATCCAACCAATTCTTCATTTAATTATTTTTTGGCTCACAGAGTGATCACAGTCGAATAGCTTCCAGAATACTACCAGGATTGTGCTTTTCGGTAAAAATAAGACTAGCGAAAAATCTACTAACCTACTGGCACTGAACTTCTTAGATGTATGTTCTTTTTGGAATAAGCCGCATACCTTACCAAGGTCAAGTACTTTGCTGGCAGTTATCCTGGAAATAGCAGAACACTGGTAAAAAGTTCGTTTTCCATCATATTTGTGACTGTCAAAAAGCCATGTTCCTGATTGGGATTCTGAATTCACATAGACCTATCAATACAGATTACAATACTGGAAGTGCTTGTCCAAAAAAGAAAATTGGCTTAACTTTTTGCTCACTTCATCTGATGCAAACTGAAATTTTCGTTGTGGGTGGTTGCGAGATTTGTGGTGTTCACATTCTGAAATATTTTATCACCTAATTTTGAAGATGCTAATGTGGAATGCTCACTACAGGCTCTTATTAGTGCAATCAACAAAACCGGCATCTTGAGAGATAATAATACCAATCATGGTTAGTACTGATGATTCACTGCTTTACAGTTACAAGGGTCACTTAATTATGTCTGAGGTTTTAAAGTGGAAAAAAGCAAAGAATGGATCAAGAAGGAACCTGGCGCTAACTTGTCGTAAGCATTCCGAGGTCTCTATGACTCTGAACACTCAAACAGACAGCCTGGACTGGAACTGATGGCACGGACGCCATTGACATTAGGTGGTCGCCGTTTCCTGAAGCGTTTTCAGTCAATCATGGAGTGTGGGGCAAACTGTACCAGCATCACCCAGGGCCCTTACCTCTTTCATACCTTTTTAACTGGTCGCACTGTTCGATGTGTTCGCTTCTCGGTATATTGAAACATTAGACTTGGGGACACCAAAATCCGTTTCTTTTGAACAAAAGCCGAAGTACTCGAAAGAGCAAGTGAGGTTTCATAATGATTTCGCGTGATATCTCGTGATATTCATTCAGATGTTTGAAAAAGATGTGTAAATGTTTGATCCAGAATTTCGATTGAGTTGCCATAAGTGTGCTTGGTTTGTTTTGTCTTTTCCTGCGCGCGGCCCATGACCTTGGACGTTAACTTTCCGAGAAATTCACCGTTGTGATGACCTTTGTCGATTGCAACCCAGCTACTTAACAAACACTTCTGTTGGTTGGGGATTTTGATAGTTTGAATCATACCATAGTCACGAGTTGGGGGAGGGCACCTAATGAGATCCATCTCATTTTGAAATAAATCCTTTTCAAAAGAAATTACTTCTGCCCAGGAACTTCAAAAGGTGTGCATAAGGGCTTTGATCTAATACTGATCTAACATTGATCTAAAATTGGGCAGACTCAAATGTAGAAATAAATAAAAATTAATAATCTTACTAATAACTGGACGATTTCCATCGGGCCTTTACCTTGGACGGCTATACCATTGATTTTTCGAATGGCATCTCCAGCATCAATTGCCTCTGAGGACCGAACAGTGATAAAATGGGACATGAGGAGTGCGGTGAAAGAATTAGGAGTGAGGTTTGCCAATAATTCTTAAATTCAACTCACATCAGTTAAATATAAAACGAGCAATACTACTTAAATATATAGGCTGTTCGGTTTTCCAGAAGTACGTAGGTCCTTTGCGCTATGTTGTCCATTCCCTTAAAAAGACACTGATCAATCACACGAATGTTTTCCATTAAGACATAGGATTCACAACAACAAACGAAAATAGTACAGACATAACAAACTACTCATAAGGTTGCGGCAAACTGTTCGAGAGTTCACGACCATTTTGTCCCTTCTTGGGGCTCTTCAATTAGTTGACGTCCCAGAGTTTCCATCATCTTATGTTCTAATTGGACCGAAGTAAGGTCTTCCGTCAAAACTGAATTCTCAGACAAATGATAGGCCTTAACAACCGAACATGCCACAAGATTTGGACCGGTAATAGAATAAGCTGGAATGGCGATGTCGTATTTATTAGTGACTGTCAAATCGTGTCAATCGCAGAGCGATAAGAAATTCTTGCTGACACTCTGAACCCTCTTTATGGATATAGGTAACGATTGGGTAGTTTTTCACTCTGAAAATCATTTGTGTTTGATTTACGAGGGTTCTGTCCGCACATAGTAATGGTTTGGTCGATTACAACTCTTTCCAGAACATCTTATTCAAGTTCGTTTCCGAGCTCGTTCCTAAGAGGAGGATCTTTTTGCCGGATTTCTGTTTCGTGTAAAAAAGTTACGCAACTGCTTCGTGGTTAAGCCAAGTAAACGCATATTTCTTTCTTTACACAGAAAATCAGATTGTTGGTCAGCTACCAGTCTATGGGCCCCGGGGGGTCGAAACAGAAATACCCGAATAATCTGTTGCAATCTTGCTCAATAAATCACCTGAACTGTTCACCTTTAGATACAAGGCGCAAGAATGATGAGAGGGGTGAGCAGTGTGTCCAACATGAACCACAACAAGTGGGTATCACAGAATAGATTAGGCATTTTGGAACTCGGTGAACCAGGCCACAAAGTGAAGCCAATGATTCTTCTAAGCTCATGAATAACAAAGTTTTCTTTCAAGAGGAACTCCTCTGAAGGATATCATTCCCTCAAAATGTCAACAACTGATATGTGGCTTACGGCTCCTCCTGAGAAGTAGGATAACTTCCCTCTACTTTAATGCCTTCTTGAGTGCTCAGCTCGAACTGCTGTCCAGAAAGTGTCGGAAAAAGCTGGTGCCCAGGCTATGTTTAGCGCCTTTCATGAAAACTAACCTATTGTTCCTAAGTAAGTGCTCTTACAAGGAAGAAAATCAACAAATTAGTTCACCTTTTGTGTACTGGTATTTTTATCTCTTTGAGTTTTTGAAGGAAAATAGACAGAACTCTACTGAGCTTGGTAAAAATCGCGGCCTTTTTTAGAATGTAAAAAGTAATGCAAACAAACAATGCAAACCCAATATAATTTTTGGATGGGCTCGGAGCATAGAGCATGTCATGTGATGCATGGTTAGACCATCTCTCGAGGTTTTTCTCGATATTTACCCGGGCTAAAAGAATCTGTTATTTTCTGAGGACAAATGGTTCGTTTGTGTTTCAAGCCAACCATGCATTAAAGTGAATCCACAAGTGAAAAGTTCCCTTTTTCTTCAGCTTACAGGCCATTATCGTTTAGAAATATAAGCGTGCAACCTGAAGCGACGTCACTTATCTAACTGACGGAACACATTCACAGCCCACTACTAGTTTTGCTGAATCTGTAGGCAAGAATTTCCAATAATCCTACTTGGATCTATGTGAAAGTAAACACATAGTTGCGAATTGTGGTGGTTCCAACGATATATTGAAACAGAACTGTCCCTGGACAAAGGCCAGCTCAGCCATATCCACTTGCTTGGTGTGACGCCACCTAGAAGACTGGCAGAGACATTCGGATAGCCTCGTGAGTAACAAAGTGCCAGGGAACAGATGAAAAAGCTATACATGTGAAAGAAGGCGCGGAACACTTTACACTGAAGAGGACTCACTGCTTCGGTCGGCTGCCCCACCATTCATAATCCGTGTGACGGAAACTGTGCCATTATGTTCATTGATCTTTACTGTCGCTCCCAATGGTTCATCTTCTTTTATCAAAGTGACAATCTGTAAGCGGTAGTGGCTGGTGGATCTTGTACGACACCGGACCGTACCTTCATGGTGACATCGTCTTCGTCCACATCGTAACATATTTCCGGTAATGTGGGTCCGTAAGCTTTGTTTGCAATCATATCATGACAAAGAAGTATCGACTAAGTACACACAACTCGATTACCGACTTGAGCAGTTACCTTTATGTGTGGTATGGAGAGAAGATTTACAAGCTGTTCTGCCTCACCAAGGTAATGGTGGCATCGTAAATGATCATAAGCCTTGAAATAATAAATTACAAAACTGACGAACCTCAATTGCTACACTCTTTGCATTTGAACAAATTGGGGCCGGCTTTGGCTGTGACAAAAGCGTTTCCAGTTTACTGTACATGTACAGAGTCCGAGGCCATACGATTTCTTTGATACCTGAAATGTCAGACTTTTCATGGGATTATGTCGGCGTTCGATCCACGCCGACGGTTGGAGAAGGCTGTCGCAACTGTGATTGTCACCTGATTGGTCACCTTCTCCCGACCAATTAAAACTCAGGAAAACGATAGCGTAGCCAGAGCGCCTGACGTGTTTAATCAATGCCATTTCTCCCTAGGGATGCGTAAACCGGGGATTGGAAACTGGTCAGTCCACTGGCGCATTCATTACCTGCCTTAGGAAACAGTCTGAATAGGAAATCCATTACTGCAGCTTACGGGGAGACTCAGAAACATGTTTATTTAGTAAGCTTCTGTGGTAGGTATTTATGGCGATCTTCGTCAAGGGACATTCAAAGCAAAAAAGACACCCCAGATGACTGGGTCAGAAATTCCTAAGTTGGAAATTACTATCGGCGAGACTGATTTGACTATCTGTGATGAAGAGCGAAACACGAGCGCTGTTACAAGTTTCTGTCCCATGCTGGTTAGCATTGGATACATACCCAGATGCTTTTGGCGGTCGATTTAGGCGGTTTAGCTGCTTTGGCCCAATAATTAAAAGCTCGGTACGAATCAAGAGATGGACTGAAAACAGGTTTCGTACATAGCAGAGTATATTTCGCGGAATTCGATTTGTATCGTATAGGAACTTAGAATTCCTGTGAGAATTTCTACCAGTCTTCAAACTAACATCTTCCACGGGACACAAAACGTTTGCTTCAAACTTACCTGTGACTTCAGCATCAGTTTGAGCGTGAAGTATTCGCCGCATAATTTGCCCTAAATAAACATCTGATGCTTGTTTTCTCAACAGTAATGGCACGAACAATCCCTATGTACACTCCTAGCATTTTTGGTTACTTACATCACAAGATTACACCACTATCAGCATTACTGGAGCATGAGGCAATTCACACGTCGGGTACCTCTTAGTTAACGCATTTCGCTGAATCAACTATCTTGTCGAAGTATAAGGATGGGAATCTTTCGCGGGAATCACCAACCTACTTTCGATCTGTCTATTAATGCTCAAAACCTGTATGTGCGAGCCCCATAGTTGGAATGACCACCAGATTATTTCATCAGGATACTCCACTTCGGTGGGTTCCTTCTTCAGATGCCTTAAGATCTGAAAGAAGGTGGTTAATCTTTGTTTCGTACCTCATAGTTATTCCATGTCAGTCCAGTAAAACACCGTAGTGAAATTATATCTATCATTATAATCAGCTGGTGTTCTCCCTAAGGGACATAACCGAAGCAAACCTTATAAGATAGGAGACGTAATACATTACTCACAAGGTTGCTGAAAATTCTTCGACAGCCCACGACCGGATTCGCCCTTCTTGGAATTCATCAGGTAGGCGCAGTCCCCGACTTTCCATCAAACTTGTGTTCCTCTTGAGACCAAATTACACGAAATTAGTGAACTACACTCATTTGCAGACAAATTTGGTTTTTCGAGAGACTCGCCTGGAACCCAGCTGAATCTCTCGTTTAGGACCAGGCCGCCTCGTGTTTCAGTTGTTACGATATTCGAGATGAGCCCCAAGAAGGGCGGAACCGGCCGTGGGCTGTCGAAGAATTTTCAGCAACCCCATGAGTTGTGAATTACGTCTATACATGTGTCGCGATATCTCGAATATCGTACCAACTGAAACATGAGACGGTCTGGTGCAGCACATTCAATTGCTCAGAAACATCATAAACGAGAGATTTAGCTGGGTTTCCGGTGAGTCTATCGCAAAACCACATTTGTTTGAAAATGAGTGTATTTCGCTTATAAGATAGTGTTTGTTTGTGTGATGACACGAGAGCCTGAAGTAAAATGGTGACAATTCATTTTACTATCCCCACCGAGACTCACTCTTGTTATGAGAACTTGTGTAAGGTCCCTTCAGTAAACCACGATTTAGTCCATTAGAACTCTAGTTTATGTGGATTCTGATAGCTGATTCTGCTGACTGAGAAACATGCATTAGTGCGAGTGAGATCCATAACCGCACACATGGTAAATGAACGTTGATATAGGATGGAGTTTTTGGCGCCGTTTTTATTTTCTTATTCATCTTTGCCGCAAGTGAATTGGATGACAAGCGCACTTAATAAGGATGACCGCTCAAATGATCAAAACGAAGTGATGGTACTAGGCTTCCTTCTATTGAGATGGCGTGAGAAAATACGCACCGACACAAGTGGTAAGATGTACTCTTCATTGTTGTTACTTAGAAGTTGGGTTGGTTCATTTCAGATCAGTCAGTAAACAGTCGACCCCCCCCCCCAAAAAAAAAAAATTTAGCCTTGTTGAGAAGACCAAAATATCCCCAAGTGTAATGTTTCCATTGACAGACTTTCTGTTCCCACTCAAATAATAATAAAATAATCATCTGGCTGTAACACTCTTTAGGTCCCTAACTGCCATGCCACCCCACGGAGGCACGGGGGATGAGATACTGCCAGTTTGCTCAAGCACAGTCAGGAGTAGTCGAGATTCCGAGGTTTGGTCGTAAGTTTGGCTAGTAGGTTCGCGCCTTCACCGCTGAGCTATCTCGGGCTCTATTCAAATAGCTTTTTATATAGAAAAGACAAAACTCTTTGGGTTCTGTTCTTCGCAATCATCTGCATGCGTGGTGACTGGTAGAGTTGGGAAGGCTAGTGATCCCTTGTTCTCCATCACAATTAAAATTTGTGCAGCGAAGTCATGGCATTCTACCCTCTAGCAGCAGACAGTTTTGCGTTTTCTTTTTCGGAAATGGATCTGACGTCCACGATTAGCAACTAAGATAAGTAGATCGCTCTTCCATTGCCTTTGTACCCCGTTGTTGGTGTTTTTCAAAACTTCAATTGTTAACGACTATCCTTGAGTCCTTATCTCACTAGATGAGCTATGAGTTGATGCAAGATTTAAGCGGCTTTCAACCATATGGATGGATCGCTTGAGCAGGAGAAAGTTGCTCATTAGAAGGACGTGGAAATTAAGGCCAAAATGTTCGACTTCAAATGTTATTATGCACAGTCTCAACATTCGGGCCGCACTATATTTACGATCATTTATATCTAATGAGATAAGCCGACAGTTGTCATGGTCCAGTGTTGCCTTACCAGCTTATTCGACCTCAGGAGACCACTTCTTATGGCCTTTTATCTTCTCTGGTAATACTGCATCAAAAGTGCTTGAAAACGGAGAAGTTGCTTCCTCGGGGAAACACCTTAGTTCGCTCACATTCATCTTAGGTCTAACCGAAGCAGGTCACCACTAATCAGCAGCGCGATACGATTAGTTGTTGTGAGGGAGCGCATTGCATTTTACCTGGCTGTCCTCCTGCAGTCTCTTGGCGTAGTTCCAGTTGACGGAGCAGCATTCCTACAGCAAGAAATAGTAACTGGTTTGGTCGGGTCTGTGCGCTTCATTGGTATAGAAGGATGTTGTGGATCAGTATTTGTTATTTTGCGTTTAATTTTGCCAGTGAGACCAGTGGTCAACCAGAAGTCAACGCCTGCGTAATACGAGAAATCATTTGACGATGTGGTCCGTAGATATTTGTACGCCCTTCACTAAAAATGGTGGGTACGGTAAGCTGTTTAGTTCAATAAAAAACCACCAATCCTCGTATTGCCGAAAGTAGCGCATAAAGACGGTCGGGACATAAAAGTTCGGCAGCTAAATTCGGTCAATCGTAAGTCTGGTCTTGATATCAAGCGTATTACACTCTGTCATCAAGATATTTCAAAAAACAATCTGGGCGCGGTTCGAGACGTACTGACTGCCAGGTGTCCAGCCTCAGGTTAGACCTTTTGGTGATAAAATCTTCAAATTGCTTTTGACGGGCGTGTTCGATGAGGCATCTTTGAGGGAAAGCAATTCTGACGAACTGTGTTTAGTTTAAGCAAAAAACCTTTGATTACAAACTCTTGGCCAGGTTGCTGAAATGAATTTTCGGTGTTTTCGATTACCCATAGTACGGATAATCAGTAACTTCTCACTGGACAATGATTTAGTGAACCAGGTATCACCGTGAGTCAGCCCCGGACAATTGGTTTGACAGAACGAATTCACCATTCATTCTCATACTACCTATCAATTTCGCTACCGAGACAGGATAGAAAAAGTTACTTCTTAACCACTGTCCAACTCAGTTTGCGTATATTTGTGACACGCATGGGAGTGCATCGCAAATGAGGGGATGTTACATATCTATAATGTCGTGTGAAAAGTAATCCTCTGACTTGTAAACGCTTCCTAAACAAGTACTTTAGTTGTCCAATGGTCCACATACAGCGATTTGGTCAGAACTTTCGTTTATTTTCATGTTCTACGAATGAATTGGAACGTCTGATTCTTCCCCTTCAGCGTAACGACGGATAGTCATTAAATGCTCATGCTGTCTGATATCTAGCTATAGTGAGTAGAATAATGGAATAAGTATGATGGTTACCGACACTGTTGAGGTTCCCAATAGGGAACTTTGAATGACTCGATGGTTTGACGATCCCGAGTATCAAAAGAAAGAATTGAGTTCGAAAGTCTGCGGCGTTATATACATGAGCAACGTTATGCAACAAACCTGTTGTCCACATTCGTGGTGTCAACAAGTGCACAAGTCTGTCACTGACCGGCACTGTTCAAGATCCGCAAAGCGAACAACAGTAAGCAGAATGTTGGATCAGCAGCGTGGGTTCAAGTCGTCCCCTTCGAGGTCAGTCTCACGATTCTTACTGGCGGTGCGATCACGCCGAAATAACGACAAAGCAAGTCAAGGCAGGATTAGTAAACGGGGAGCGAACACGCATGGGTAAGTAGGTAGGCTGTGTACATTCACACACATACACATGCTGGTATACCGGTGTCGGACGGGATGGCTTTTGTGGAAAGGCTAATGGCGGGTACAGATGAACGAAACAAGTGGAAATCAAAAGTACGTGGTCGGAATAAGCAAATTAATGAGGGAATTATGAGGTCAAGTTAGGTTCAATAAACTGTGGGGGTGTCTATACTAACTCGGACGGTAGTTTGAATATTGAGCCCACAATCGTATCGAGTTTATCTCTCACGAGTGTCGTCTCGCAGTATCAACGACGAGGGAGTGTGATCAGACAGTTTTTCACCTAGGCTCATATTTCGTCAGAATCTGCTATCCGACCACCCAACCAACTTCTTTTGAAATTTGCATCCGCTCTCATGAAGAGAACTTGAACTATTAGTGCACTCTCTTCTAATCTTAACTACAGATAAATGAATCGAACCCTTGGCTTTTCGTTGTCCCAGTATCAGAGTGGACAACGAACGGGTACTCGGCATAACCGTTGCATATTATCAGTCTCCAGAATGGGTAAGATGCCGGTACGTTTTGATAAAGTTTACAGTTATGCGACCTTGTCTGAATTTCGGTGTGTAGATTGGAGTTGATTCCATTCTCGGGCACAAATAGGATTTTGAACTTATTCGTGTTACATTTGAATGCTTAAACCTAAACAAGGTGCATGGGATACGATGCTTGTAGTTCGGGGTTTCGATTATCACGGATGGGCTCTGTAGCTGAAAGGATAGCAGAGTACAGAACCCGTTTGTTGTAAGTTACTTAAATCGTGAGCTCTTGGTTAACCTGAGATTAGCAGTGGTGCATTTGTCGTCGGGAGTTGATGTGAAAATGAGTCATGATTTGGTCAGCTGCTGGATGCGTGTTATCAAACGGCCATCTTCGTGGTGAGCACAAGCAGTTAATTCCCGTAGGCAGAACTCGAAACAGTAAGAACGGAAAGTTCATCAGCAGATCA